TATAACCCTTGTAATGATCTGACAACCTGTCATGCTTCGATTACAGTATCGTCTCTTTGTAAAGGAAAAGACAAACTGAAAAAAGGTTCAGCGCTCACTAAGCTTGAAATACTTTCCCATGACTTCAACACTGTTGACGTGTGAGCAGCTGGAGGCCGAGAGAAAAGCAGCTAATGAGATAGTTTCACTGCTCATACTTAAAAAACAAAACAAAGACGCAATAAACAATTACTACAGGCTGATCGGAAAAAGAACAAAACCGCTTAATAAAATGTGTTTAAAAACAGACAGTGAATCTCAACGAAATGATGAAACAAAACATGATATGATTGGACCCCGAGATCCCGCCTAAACCCCGCCCGATAGGTCTAACCCTGCCCTTGTAAATATTACACAAGAGAAAACAAAAACATAATTACAAGTAGAAAAGAAAGACAAAAACAACAAAAAAAGAGGACAGGAAAAAGTGTCCGTCACTAAATCTTCAAAAGGTCACCTTCATTCACACAGATTTTTTTTAATCAAGTTTTTTTTATATAGTATATATCTTTTAGCATCCATAATTTCATTTTTAATAGTTAAACAATAAAAGAGCTGGCAATGGGGAGGGGAGGATGAAGGGGTTCACGTACAACTCGACACACAAATGAGCGTCTAAAGAGAACGAGATAATGACGGTGTGACGCAGAGCGGAAGGGAAGTGAAACATCTCCCAGAAGAAGACGACGCCGGGGGAGCTAGCTAGTGGCGAATGCAGGAGCAGCTCCGCAGAGTTAATGTTATTATTATCGTCGTCAAGCGTGAATAAATAAAACGGCCGCCATAAGCACGTGGAAATCCACTCCTCTCCGCCAACCCCCTTCTTCTTCAGGCTCAGTTGGAGCTCCCCCCCCCCCACAAATATAAAGCAAGTGTGTTGACTATTCTGTCCTCCGTCCTCCTTCTCTCCCTCTACGAGTCTGTGCGATTCATGGAGAATTGGTATTTCCACAGTCCGACTCCCACACTGGTTTAATACCTTAAAGACACAGAGAAAGGTTTCCGTCAGATTGTGATCATTGCGGTTACATGTGTTGTACGTTGGTCATTATCCCTCGACGAGAATGTGGCCCCTCCTCTATTATGAGTCATATAAGTGAGGCGAACAGAGTTGCCTTGACAAGCAATGGACTTTTAACAGATCTTTATATATAGTTTAGGGAATGTAAAATCATTCTGAAGATTTTAATTAGACATTTTTTGAGTAGTTGAAGTGAGTTACAATAAAATACACTGGAGGTGCATTTGAGGCTCTGATCAAGTCCAAATCTGAATGAAGCAGTCAGTAAGAGATTTGGCTCAAAGACGCTTGACTGTTAATCAATGTCAAAGTCAACTCAACATAAAGCCAAAGGGGCACTCTGGGACAGTGTGTTTGTAGTTTAATTAGATCAACAGACTGGTGACGATCTCACTGACTGCGTCATGGCAATTACAGGAGTCAGAACATATTTTCTAAATTATCATAATACGTCAGATTTATCAAATCTCATTCTTGGATGTAGCTACAAAGACGTTTACATGAATAAAGCTGCCATTTAGTTACAGATTTCATGATAACAGATATCAGTTGATTCTTAGTTTCAAATGTAAATTAACAACAGCAAATGAGTCCTCAACAAGTTTGATGATTTATTGTTCCAAACTCTTCTCATTGTTTTTTTGAAACAATTTGAATGTTATATACACTCAGAACAACTGTGCTAATCTATTTTAAAGCTGTCAAGGCTGAGTGTGCTGAGGTGTTTTCATACCTATAGTAGTTTGGCTTAAAGGGTCCGTTCTTGTTCAAGCCCAGATACTTGGCCTGCTCATCGGACAGCTCTGTGAGATGGGCGTCAAATGTAGGCAGATGTAGGCTGGCCACATACTCATCTGGAGGGCGAGAGAGAGGAGGAACATGTGAACATGCAGCAGGCGTGTGTGGCAGATTAATCATTCGAATGAGAGAGGGAAGAGAGGTCACAGGGAGACTGTGAGATTCATCATCTCTCTATCTCTTTTCTGTCTTCTATCTCCTCACCCTCCTTTCTTCATCTCATCGTCCCTTTGTATTCCATCATCTTTCTTTCAGAGTGTGTGTGATGTCACCGACAGGGTGACCTACATTTAGCTGCGTGTTTGTCTGAACTATACATGTGTGACAGCCAACGTGGCGGCCAGCGCTGCACACATGCTGTGGGCTTTATGTATGCAGGACTCATTGTACTGTGAATGATTTTGCTATCCAGGCAGACGACTCTGTGCTGAACAGATGACACTGAGTGAGTCGTCTACAGAGATAAATGCAATAACCTTTAAGCTCTCTGCTCGGGCAAAAACAAACCCTCTGTAATCAGCTCCTCGCTTGGTGGCAATTTTAGAAGTAAACATGGTTATTCATCTCTCTGACCTGATCGCTGACGGTGTTTATGTTATCTAACAGAGATTAAGACTTCTACATACTACTGTTCTGTTGTTTGACAGTATTATAAGTAGTCTTTCTCACATCAAAGCAAGTTAATCTTACCCATCTTCTTGGGCAGCAGGTAAACATCCTGCTTGTAGCGTCCCTCTGGGGCATTGTACAACTCTATCAGAGCCAGAGCCTGCACAGAAACACAAACAAGTGTAACTCACAAGACATCTTAATAGGTTTTTATTTGATTCTTGTATGATTAAAAAAAAAAGCGAGTGCAAGGCAAAAGCCATGTACAAGAGTGTTACGAGGACAAAAACAAATCTACCTGTGTCGTGGCAGTGATGGAGAGCACAAAAGTGGGCACAGTGGAGCAGCTGAGGTTCAGCAGTCGACCCTGGAGAGGAAGGAAAAGTAATTCAAAGAGTAAATGAGGGAAGAACACTGCCAAGATAAGAAATGTTTGAAGTTTGAAAAATGTGAACATTGTAGGAAACATTTTAAATAATGTCAGTACATAATCAACAAAATATACAGGTCATTAAGCATTACTCCATATTATACCTTTAATTTCACAAAAGATTGGAAAAGGTGGATATTAATCAGAAGTCTGAGAAAAGAGCTGTGTGCTCAAAATGTCTGCGTCAAATAAAAGGATTTAACAGGAGAATTTAGATGTGAGAATCTTCTCTTTTCAAAGTTTAGATAAAATCACTTAATCTTTCTTACATCTGACCAGTTCACATTTCCTCCATTTCTGTACGTTGCTGTAGAGCATCATTTTATATCAGCAGACAGTAAAGATTTTTTTTTCTCTCCACAATAATAAACTGCAGCTGTCTGAGACGCTGCATTGCAGAGAGACTTTGGTGGAAATCAAGTGCTGCAGAAGGTGAGGTGGTGAGATAAAACAGCAGCAGAGATGGAGACAACGATGGGCTGGCGGTCTGTCTGCCTGTCCCTGTCCGACTGCTCTCATTCTGTCAGAGTGTAATGCACACACATGTGCAGGGGTGTGTGTGCCTGTCTTCAAAATAATACAATTTCCTCACCTTTGTTTGTGAATCATTTTCAACAAAGTTCAGTGAATTTTTATAATTAAATTTGACAGAGTATGAGTCACCACGATAACGTGCGGTTTCAAGGTCCTGCGTGTGTGGATGTGTGTGTGTGTGGGTGTGAATATGTGTGCGTGTGTGTGTGCGTGTGTGTGCGTGTGTACCTCAGCCAGCAGCACTATCCTCTTGCCATCGGGCCAGATGACATGGTCCACCTGAGAGCGCACCCTCTCCCATGTCAGCTCCGTAGTCCGCAGGCTCGTCTATAGGGTGAGCACAACATCATCGACAATCATTTGCCTTTAACCATTTTTTTCTCATTTCCATTTGGACAAATGAACATATTTTACAGTTGGCCAACAGCTCAATACGCATTTGGTCTGAACCTCTAAAGTAAACACAAATATCAAACCAGCATTATTAAGTTTGTGTTGGCTGGTAACTGACCACATCGATCTCAGTGTTGGAGTGTCCCATGTTGCAGACAATGCAGCCGTTCTTCATGCGGTCCAGGTACTCTCTCACCACCACGTTCTTATTGCCTGATGGAGAGAAAAGGTAAAAGCAGTAAAGGTTAAAGCCATGTCTGTTAACGACAGCTGTTGGACAGAGAAGAAGAACTGTGACCATTTAATTTTTTTACTCATTATTTCTGTCAAAGGGCTGCAACACTGTAGCTTCTCACTGGGATTAAAAACTTTCCATCTGTCTACTCTTTCCAGTATTTTGTTCAATTATTTCTTATCACAGTGCTTATAAATCATTAATTAAGTCTGACGATGTGATCTAGTCTGAGTCTTCCTCCTGCCTACGTAGTGCTGTTTTAAGTATCTGTGCATATTTCTAAAATTACTTATTTTCTCATTTTTGTCAAAACTACAGGGATGCTATTACACAACATCCTAATAACTCCTTTTTTGTTTGAATATGTATCTTAAGTCATATGTAAACTTGAAACATGCATATCTGACTGTAAGGTGAAGAAAAATGTAAAGATAATGTTTTAATCATTACACAAGATATTTTATAACATTTATTTGAAGGATAATTGTGGGATTTCATCATTATAGTCCTTATTATCACTTTATGTTCTTAAGATTTTTTTTTAACAATGAACTCACTATGGCTCCAATTAGCTTTCTGAAGTTTGGTACAAGCGCTCTAATCAGTTGACGGTAATGGCGTCACCAGTATGTGACCTTATTAGAGCGAATGCTTGTCCTGTTTTATTTATTTCACAGCACTTTTCTACTTTATTGGCAGATTCTTGCAGAAATACCTCATTATTCTCTTATTAATATCTTTCCTGTTCTACTGCATTTTCAGTCCAAAGCTTAAGGCCTGTCCGAAAAGACATAACTAATTCTCAGCCCTGAATAAGTGTTCAAGACAAGAAGCTGCTGAGCTGAGAACCTATATAGTAACTTCTGCAGATGAGTGACAGCAACTAAAACTGTCCAATCCTACTAAACCAACAGTGACAGAGTAGTAGAATCCTTAATGTTTTAGATGCATATAATGAAATCAGTTATTCTCTCTAAGGTAAAAATGCCTGTGCAGCTGTTAGAAGGTGATTAGTTGATGAGATGCAGAGTTTCTTACATATTTTGAGCACAGACAAAGAGAGACCAGAACCAAACCTGTGCAGGTGATCACGATGTCCACTTGTCTGATGACTTCGTTCAGCTTCACCAGCCTGAATCCGTCCATGCTGTAGTGAGGAGAAACACAATAAAAAGCATTAGACGTGTCAACGCTGACAGTGACTCATACGAAACTCAACAAAGTGGAGTCTTACCAGGCCTGCAAGGCACAGATGGGGTCGATCTCTGTGACATAGACGATGGAGCCCATCGCTTTGAGGGCAGCACAGCAGCCTTTGCCAACCTGTGGAAAACAAGGATGAGATGTAATAATCGATAATGATAAATCAACAATCAACACTGCTAGATGTTTATTTGGTCTTTCCACCACAATGAAGAAATTCAACATAATCCAATACACAAAACACCAAAGATCAATACACATAACCTGAGGAACTCTATAGTGCATTCTATAATAGCAATGTGCTGCATTATTATACAGTGAGGCTCAAGTGTTTTCTTTTCCAGGTTTTGAAAGACAGCACCTTATACCATCCACAGCAGCTCATACACAATGTAGAGGGATGTAATACATCTCTACTAATTGACCGTCCTTTCGCTTTATACAGTGTAGATGCTTTATTTTTGTTCAAACACACTTACTTTGAAAGAAAGCAAACTATTATCTTACTTCTAACCTACATCTAAATCTGTTAATGTAGTTTTAATGTGACATTTCAGCATTATGTTTCAGCCTGCATTAGTCAGCCTCACCTCTCCGTAACCACACACCACCACCTGTTTTCCCCCGAACATGACATCAGTGGTTCTCTTCAGGCTGAGGAGAGAAACACAGTTGATTTACTGGCAGCCTGACATTAATTCAGACTGTGTGGAGCAGAGAGGAGGTGGCTGTAATTGCCCTGCAACATGAAAATATAAAATACACAAGACTGTTTCCCACCCGTCTAAGATGGACTCCCTGCAGCAGTAGAGGTTGTCAAACTTCTGCTTGGTCACAGAATCGTTGACGTTCATGGCTGGGACACACAGCTTCCCTGCCTTTGACAGCTGATACAACCTACACATAAACAGATAAACAGACACATTTTTAAAAAAACATTGAAACACTGGACTTCAATATGAGTTATTTATTTTTGTTTAGTTTATACAGTTTAATTTATGAACAAGACCATACTGTAGTTGTGTAATCACACTGTGTTGATGGAGAGGATGTACACCACTAGATGGTGCTGTTACCATATCATACTGTGAGTGTGTATGAGTGTGGGAAAATGTGCTGGCACTATCTCCTTTAAAATAATGAGAAGTGGTTTTATTCACAAAGCACAGCATTGTGACAATGAAGAGGAGACAACCAAGGACAGGAGCGTGGGTTGGTACCTGTGCACACCGGTGACGCTCTCCTCTACAATGCCCTTGATCTTCTTGAACATGTTTGGGTATTTTTTATAAATCCAATGAGTCAGGTCTCCACCATCATCCAAGATCTGACACAGAAGCAGAGATGAAGAGGGGAAGAGAAGGAGAAAAATAAAAGATACTGATGAAAATAAGACTGACGGAGCCAGCTTAAAACTGAATCTAAAACTTGTGGATAAGCTCCTTGGTTAAATAGGACACTATTTAATTCTTTCTAGTGATTCTTTCTTCAAAAGAAAAAAACAGGTCAAACAAGTCAAATTGATTCCATAAAATTATTGAAATAATTTATTTCAGTGCAGTCTTGAATGTCAAGCAAAGGTTATGGGACACAAAAACATTTTTAAACATTAATCTCCAAAGGCTCCTTCCTGTACTTCTAGCCTCAAAGGCAGGAAATAGCCATTATGTAAAATCTAGTTTCCAGGTAAAAATAGCAGGTGACTGTGCCACTGTGGGATGGAAACAAAAGGTAAGATGATTTTTGCATGCTTTAGCAGGCTTCAGTTAGAATTTAGATGTGCTACCATGTTGGGTTGCCAGCCTTCCACGTTGACACAGCGATCGATGCACCACCAGAAGTCGTCCTCTGACTCACCCTTCCATGCAAATACACTGAACCCTAAAAAAAGACAGGAAGCGTTTTATCCATGAAAGATAGAGTGAAACAGATAAATCAGGCAGGAGAAGAAGGAGTGATTATTTTTGAGAGTGAAAGACAGGGGAGATGAAAAGGGCAGGTGTCACACACAGCAACTCCCAAGAGCCTCACCTCCCTCTGCCAGGGCAGCTGCTACTTCGTTCTGGGTGGAGTAGATGTTGCAGGCTGCCCATCTGCACTGAGCGCCCAGAGCTGACAGAGTCTCCATCAGCACCTGAAGGAAGAGAGGAGAAGAGAGGGCCATGTTTACCTTTCTGTTGTAGCTGGTGAAAAGACACTGTATTCACACTGTTTAGGCTGTGAATTAGTGCGTGAGTGTGTGTATGTGTCTGTGTTTTCCATTCCCACTCACAGCAGTCTGGGCAGTGATGTGGGTGCAGCCCACCACCTTGGCACCAGCGAGGGGTTTCTCCCCCTGGGCCCGCTTCCTCAGAGCCATCAGAGCTGGCATCTCTAAAAGAAAAGAAAGAAAAAAAGAAGATACAGCAATCAGCTCGATGTCGATGGAGGGAATGCCCATCATGTAATTCTCCTGATAACCGATCGCTGAAGGAGAGGCTGATGTTAAGAGTATATTCTGTGTGTGTGTGTCTTAATCTCAGGCTGCCTGCATGATCTGTAAAGTAATTAGGGAATCATGTGTAATAATGTGCTGAGTTTTTACACTTGTGGTGACAGGGGACATATGGTCACCCAGCAGTGTAGAGAGCAGATACACTCACACACATGCACGTACCTCAAGCTTGTGTTACTGTATTTGTAACGTCTCTGGAAATGTTAACATTTAAATAACAACAAAACTAATGTTTATATCTGCTGCATCAAAAAGAGGAAAATGTGATTAAGTAAAATGTAAACACACAAACATGACATATATTAAACTTGACTTGAATATCACTTTGTTTTTAACACTATTTTCGACTGTGGTTTATCTGATTCACACCGCTAACCCTCATGTTTTCTCTTTGTACAATAAGCAGTGACGGGTGTTTTCCTTTACCCTGCTCAGCGATCTCGATCTCTCTGCGTCCGAAGTCAGCCTGTTTGATATTTTTGATGCAGAAGTCCCCGTTGCCCTTGGAGTTCTTCTGCTGTTTGTCCCGAGGAGATGTCTCATCGTCGGAGCTGTCCGTGTATGATGCCGCTAAAAGACAGACACATAAATGTTATCGTCAATATGTCAGGCACACATTAAAGGTTAATTCTGTTGCAATATAAAGTTTGTTTTTCAAAGGCTATAACTAAAGATAATTTTCATCATCCATTTATGATTTTATCAATAAAATCTCTGAAAAAGCATTGCCCAAGGTGACATCTTAAAAAGGTTTTTGTCCGACTACTCGTCCAAACAGCAAAAATGTAGTTGCTATGTGCAAGAAAATAAAGCCTCATTTGAGAAATGTCAACCAGCAAATATAAAACAATTACTCAATTACCATTTTAATATACCAATTCATTTTCTGTCAAAAAAAAAATCCAAAAATCAACAAATAATTTTCGCTCTAACGTTTTTATAAACACGATTTAATTTTTTTCCTCACAGGATTCTTTTATCCAGAGTTTCTAGGTTTCACAGTGCAGAATAAACACAATGTGCCTTTGGTTTCTTTATCATGAGAATGTGAGTGAAGCTTGTGCTTTTCCCAACCCACAGATTCTTCACAGCAGCGAGTTTAATTGATTATGAAGCAGTGTGAAAAACAATTTCCTCCAACAGAGCAACTGCAGCCTCTTTTCAATAGAAAGAACAAATGTGATTCCAAGAGGAGTGTCAGTGCACCTGTTGAGAACAGGAGTGTCATCAGCATACATGAGTACACTGATACTAACACTGTGCACTGGTTCTGCTTGTGTAGAGCAGGTACACGATATGAACGTGGACCAGAACCACATAAAACATGGGCCTTTGACGGTGCTGCAGGTTCAGTGTGCAAGTGAAAAAGATCTAAATTGAATATAAATTAATTCTAGTGGTGTTCTAGTGGTGTTTCACTAGTGTGTAATCATCTATCATTGTAGAAATGTCAGATTTCTTCACCCTAGAATGAGGATAGGAGAGGGTGAGGGGTATTCAGCTGCAGCATGCAACTTCAGCACTAGGTGTCACTGAATGTTACACACTGAACCTGTAAAGAACATGCTGGACTTTGCCAGGAGGGGAAAAAAATCTGGTAATAATCCGTAAATGTATCGTTTGGAAAAATCATCTTTTAATACCTCCCATCCGTACTGACAGTGGGAGAGGGGGATAATGTGAGTTGTGGAGCTCTTAGGGGTGTTGAGGGTGGATGTACTGGAACCTGCAAGGGATGCCGGGACACAGCCAAAAACAGTGTGAAGGTAAAGGAAAGAAAATCAAAACCGGGAGGTTTTCTTATGTGCTTTTCCAAACACAGAAGGGTTTTATATACCAATAAAAGATGAAGGGGATAATAAATCATGAAATATTTGGTCTCAGTTTGATGCTTAAAAGCTTCTTAAGGATTCACACTTATTAACAATAGAGAAACTACTTTGGTCATATCACTCAACAAATCTTTACAGCTTCACTTTAAACAAATGTGAAATTAATGGTCTTGGGAAAAGTGCTTCTGGTGTGTTCTCTGTGCTGTGGGAACCATCAGAGAAATAAGGAGCACTCAGTTGAAGGATTTATGGGAGAGGACAGGCAATCAGCAGAGGGATGAGAGGAAAAAAAAAAAAAGAAAGAGCATGAAACAGAGAGTTCAAAAGAAGGGGGACGAGACAGTGGGGTTACACAAGTGTCTGGAAATCACTTGATATTGGCATTGACGACTCTTGGCTCAAATTATGATAGCTGCTGTTAATGGTTTAAACATAAGAATGCCACAGTGTAGTTGAAAGTGAGTGAAAAATATGCAGAATAAGTGCTCTCATCGCCCTTTTAACATGTATGAGAAAAAAGCTCACATCATGGCTTAAGCCTCAGACCAGAGAGGAGATTTAGTCCAGTGGTGAGGTCACATCAGAATTTAGGCCCTTTTTCTAAGAAAAATATTTCAGTAGATTTTAGATCATCGTAACATTTTATACATGCACGCTTCAGCTACAGCCCTGAAAGTGCTGGACACAGACACAGAGTCACATTCTGCTTTAAGATTTGTTACTGGTGATTGGTCTTCTACCCCCTTACATCACCTCACCACCATCCATTAATGTGTGCTCTTATCGAACATGCTCAAATGACTGATACACTGCAGGCGCCAATTGATTTTACTCAATATCCTAAATCTATTTTTCTCATCGCGCAACAGGGAATAACATTCTGAACAATCTAAAGTTCAACTCATTATTATCCTGAGGGAAATGTAAGTTTTTTTAAATCTCACCTTATTTTATCTGCGGCTGCTCTTATTTTAGTCGATTCATTTGTTTTTAATAAAATGTAAATACGGTATTTTTTCCTAAGGCTTTTACATTTGTTCTTGCTTCTTCTTGATTTTACTGTTTGTTTCATTTGTGTTTTCTTGATATGTTTACCTTCTATACTCGGCTATATTATAATGTAGTCCACAGTTAAAATACAGCTTGAGGGTTGGGTGTCTTAATTTATTAATGAAGCAGTATTTCCTTTTTTCTTTAATTATTCCTGAAAGAAGAGAAACACAAGGTCGTTTTCTCAGCTGACCCTGATTGGTGTCGCTTGCCTGCAAAAACATGCAGCGGCTGGCGAATGTGCCAGTGGCAAGTCACAGGACCAAAATATTTCATCTCCTCTCAGTAAGAGTACTCAGTATACTTTTTTTAGAACCCTTAACCCGAGGGACCCATTATGCCCCTGACTCAGAGTCCATTTGTCCATCTGTCTGTCCATCATACTTTGCCACGAGGAGAGATGCCATCCAAACAGTATCACACACACAGATTAATTCATTACGCTAATGGTGCCATCGAAGGACCTGTGTACTGTGAGTGACCCTGATGCATGGCAGGAAGTCAGAGAGCCTCCAAAAACGAAGCAGCTTATGTTGAAAATAAACATTTGCAAAAAAACTCTATTGCTTTTAGAAAGGTGGTGAAAAGAAGGGCGGGCAGAAGAGTTTAGAGGAGAGTAAGGAAGGGCAGAAATGGAGAGGAGGATTATTTCAGACAGTGCTCTTGATGATGTTTAACCTTTTCTCAAAACTAAAGCAAATATTTGCTCTGGTCGAGTTTGACATTTTGGAAAATGCAGCAGGCTTATTCACTTTCCTCTAGTGAATGGAGACTCCCCTGGTTGCCTGGAGCCCTCATCATTTTTTTATGGAGTGATAGAAAGGTTAACAAATTGTATAATCGGTGGTGCACATAAGTATGTATCTTTTACCTTTTCTGTTTCTAAAGTCAAAATTAAGACGGGAGGATTTGTGTCACCCATGCCATTCAATTTAAACCACACCCAATACATAGCTCAGAGTCTGAACTATGCCCCTCTTTAGTCTGTACCTTTGATGTTGTTAAAAAAAAAGTGTAATGGAAACACGTAGCTACAGGAATTGAGCAACAGGAAGAGAGCAAGAGTGTGTGTGTGTGTGTGTGTGTGTGTGTGTGTCTGTGTGTGTGTGTCTGTGTACCTGAGCTGTAGCTGTCTGTGGAGGACTGGGAGATAGAGCGGGACAGAGAGCGCCGGCCGATCTTAGACGGGCGCTTGTTGAATTCCTGTTTCTGGTCAGCAAACTGGATCTGAGGGAGAGAGCAAGAGATCAACACTCAATTTGGATTATAACAACTTCGGCTCTTCATCATGAAACTTCAAGCCAAAATAGGGTGCCAGGCTTTGTACACTCACATGCACAGATTGTGTATAATAACACACAGTGTAGTTATAAATTAACAAGGTTATGATGACACTTGAAATTCCATGACCAACCATTAAAATCAAACTTTGACTTCATCTTTAATCTTTTTCGAGCCGGGTCATTCTGCTTTTTAAGACATATATTTGAAAAACACGAAGCACAGAAGCAGATATTAAACAGAAAGATATATAGTCACAGACCAGTCTATAAGAAAGGAGACCAGCTTTGATTTCACTCCCACTATTAACAGATAAAAAAGACAATGAGGCGATTATCAAGCAGCAGCAAGGCCAGACGAGGTTTGACAGTTCATCCTGGTCCTGTGAAATGAGTGGGAGGTGATTGGCTGTTCACTGTAGTCAGCCCACTACACGGATAATGATTCTATCACACTGTTAATCTTATAGCCATTACATCAGAGCAGATGGCGCATCATAATTTATGTACTGATAATATTAGAGTATGAATGGCTGATTTATTCCTGCAATAAAACCTTGCAACAAGAACAAAACACTTTAGCGGGGGTGTAATTTCTTTCTTTCACCCGTCTCAGAAAAGTTGTTGAATAATGCCCACGGATCAGCAAATCATTCTGTCAAGATATGAATTGGAAAGCGAGAGATTCTGTCAATGCCAAGGTCTCATGACGGAGGTGTCGAAAAGCTTTATGGGGTAGATTAAAAAGCGTCTGAACAATTCATTCCTCGTTTAAAAAGCTCGTCCTTGAGTTCATGTTTTAAAGTTTTTTATCAAAGAGAGGTTACAAAACAATTCTGATATTAGGACACATCCCTCTGTGTGCTTGTACGTAAAACGACTAGAGGTTGCGTGTGTGTGGGTGTCTTCATTCACTCGTTCTCTCAATGTGCAAGGCACTGCATGAAAGACACAGAGCAGAGCTGCTGTCCAAACAAAACTGACAAGACTGAGACACATGAAATCAATAACACGATGAACCAGTTTCTCATTTCTGGATTTTGCTTCTTTTTTTCCAGGTCTGTGATGTCCTATCATCCCAGAGTGAAAATGTGGACTAAAGCATCAACACCTCTTCAAATAGACATAAAGAGACATATTACATAGAAACGGGCAAAAATACAAAACAATTCATGATACCAAAATTGTTCAAATCTCGTTCAAACACATTTACTGTAAGCTTTTTTCCACTCCAAATATACAGGTGACTGTTGTCTGCTGTGTTTGTAGCCTCTAGATCCTCCTGTCAGAGCATCGTCTCCCTGCAACCCGCAGCAAATCCAGATTAATCCGCCCTGTCTTCCATTCTCTCCTCTTCTTACCTTTTTCACACAGGGCTCTCCTACTCCCCCATCCTTTTTCTTCTTCAGCATTGCCAAATGTACATATGTGTGTGTGCAATGCAAGGCTTAGTGCAGTGCAGGGACCTCATCATTCAAGGTCTGATCATTTCATAGGCTGCTACACCTCTTCTCCCTCTGCCACTTTTTGGCCTCTGCTTTTTCTTGCAATCCAGCTCTAACTGGTTCGACCATGCGCCAACAAACACAATGCAACAAATTGTTCCCCCCCCCTCTCTCTCCTACCTCTGTATTCTTGTTTAATTGTTGATTGTTCGAGAGATTGGGATCCTTGAATTGCTGGTATCAAAACCGAAGCGAAGCTTTACCCCAGTTGACCCTGGTTATTAAGTGCAGCACTGGAAGGAATGAAAAAGTGATGGAAAGCTACTGGGGAGGTTTAACTTGATTAAATACCATTAAACAACAACAACACAAAAAATGTGAATGAGAATAATGACAATTTTATGACTATCCATCTCTTTCTAAGATATGAAAAATCAGCAGTGACATTTTATACCAAAAATATATATAAATCCATCAGAGGAAGCAAGGATTTCCTGAAGATGTCTAGATGTGTGTTAAAAAAAGTAGGGTGGGACTGACTGGAGCTGTTGTACCAAATGTACCATCAACTGTTGAAATGTCTTTTTATCCAGATGCAAAAGTACAAGTATAAGGGCCATGTTGAAGAAAAACGTCTTTTGAGAGTAAAGTATTAACAAAAATAAAGTCATAATGTAATGAGCACAATGTCGTGAAATTGAGAACTAAGTTGTAATTGAGAAGAAAGTCACAACATTATTATTGAATCAAAGTCCTCATACTGGAGGATTTGTGAAATATGTGCAAAATAATAAATTATCAAAATGTTCCACATTTCTCATTATAATGCAGGCTAATCTTCTGATAAACCCCCTGGAAAATGGCAAGTGGCATAAAATTATGACTTAATTCTGGTTATATTACGAGAGTGGCCATTTTCCAGCCAATAAAAGGGTTACTGCAAATGGCTGGAGAGCAAACTACAGAGAGATAGCATCATTATGAGAGCGGCTGATGGTGCTAATAAACCCTGACCTCTCTAAACAGGCTATAATAGCTCCATTGGTCTCTTATAGCTTATCGGATGGAGGTTAGATGACGGGCTTTAGGAGCTCAGAGTTGCAGTAAAGGATTGAGGGTCATTTTTGGGAGCTCAGGAGGAGGGGATCGAGGGGGCTTACAAGACGTTTTTTGGGAAAAGATTACCACAGGTTAGCTCAGGCCTCAGAACAGTGGGTACTGCCAGAGAGAGTGACACAGTGGTTTGTTTATTTCTGCCAGAGCAAGTGAGAGGAGGACAGACGTAACCAATGCTGGTTTCATCCCTTAGGTCTTAACATACATTACATTCTGATCTATGTGTAAACTCTGATGGCAACAAGAAATTAGATTTTTATTCTATGGCTGATTCTTGCCAAGCAAAAACAGATTTTCAAGAATTATCACAATTGCCAATCACAGCGTACATGGGCGACATAATTACTTACAAAAATGAGACGCAGACTTTGTCAGCAAGTTTTTGGTCATTAATCTGTACTGTAACTTGCTGCAATGAGACTTCATTCCCGTGATTAAGCTGATTTATCCTTAAATTATCCAAGATTCAATTTCATTATCTTTTTTTAATCATATCAGAATGTGACTGCTGCTGACTTAATTCATAAATACAACATAGTGTAGGGTTGTAATCTGCAGGAGCTTAATCACATTGTGCCAATTAGTTATAGAACTGACATGACAGGAGGCTCAGAGAGATTCATTATGTAACAGAACAGCAACACTCTGCTCCTGTACTGGTACATAAGAGTGCTACCTACGAATAGGTCTGCATGACTCAGCAACAGCTGCTGGAAAAATCATTATATGGAGCTCATTCAATCTGTTGAAAATGTAGAGCCAGTAACGTCCTTATGTCAACCAAGAACCTCTGGATATTTACGCCACATTATCTCTCATGTTGAAGTTTAACTAGAATCATCATCCTGTGGTTTTTATGCTTTCAGCAACCAGTGCAGTTTCCCTCTACTTATTTATTATTATTTTCCAGACATGAAAATATGCAATAATGCAAAACTTGTGCAATTGTTGACTATACTGACCTGGTGTTCCTGATACATTACTTTCACAAGAACATGACTTCATCTTGAACTTTGGCAAACAAAATCTAATCCAAATACACATGAAGGCTTGTATAAAATAAGACGTTTTCCTGAAATCTTGCGGTCACGAGACCAAAACACGTTTTATAAGGTCAGTGTGACCTTGACCTTTCCATCACCGAATTTGAATTAGTTCTTCTTTGAGAAGGGAATGTTTTTATGAAATCTGAAAGGAGTCCAAGGAGGTGTTCCTGAGATATTGTGTTCACTACAATGGGACACACAGACAGCCATACAGGCATCAAAATTTACCGACAAGCCGAAAAACATAATGCCTCTGGCCAATGGCTATCACCTGCATGGAAGCATAAAGAACAGACAAAACAAAATAGCATTCAGTAGAGCAAATACCACTGCCAAGGTACCAAATTATATCAAGCTGCACCAGATTATACACACCAACGTCAAAAAATACCCCATCTTGCACTGATGAAGAAAGTGATGGGAAATTCCTGGGCCTGCCCCCTTTTCAGCACCAAAATGTAATGGGTTCTTCCCTGATGAAAACTGCACCCCTCCACCATAACCACCTTTGTGGAGGTAAAAATATGCTGGGCTAAACACATGAATATCACTTGTAACATTTCTCTTCCATCAGTCTCTTTCTGATGACTGTCTCTTTTTTTCCACCTTTATTTTTTGACATTTATCATCTTTAATTTGGTCTCTGTCTCTCTGACCTTGCAGCACACACACCTTTACATTATGGATGGTGACTGATTGGGAGGCTAATGACATGTGAATAATGAATGTTAATTCAATACTAGGACACATGGGAGCTAACCCAGGTCTGCCACCATCCACTCATCTTTGTGTTTGTGAATGTGCTTCACATATAAATGGGATTGCAGGGAACCAAGAGAATGAGTTAGTCAAACTCAATTCAGAAGAGAGAGAAAATACAGTAGTGATCTGAATACACAAGTAACAGCACAGGACAGAGGATGTGTGGGATGCTGGGAGTGAAGCCAGGTGTGGGTCACTCTGAGGTGCACTGCATTATAGCAAGGATGCTTTGGACAGCTTGTTCACACTTGTTTTTAACACCAGATGCACCATACAGATGCAAGAACAAAAACACTGAAAATGGTTCCTAATGTTGCTAAGCAGCAATTACAAATGGTGCTCTTTTGAGCACTACAACTCAAAGTACCATAACAAACAAAAACACAGACTAGACTTCTAATGGATTTAGAGTTACGTAAAAATGTTCCAAGCTATGACATTTCTAAAAGAAAACATGGTCTAGAAAGGAGCTGAGTGGTTTGATTATAAAATAAAAACAGAAGTTTAATAAATTCACACTATTGAGGCATAACATGTGATAGTCTTTTAATATAATTGTCAGTTTTTATTAGTATCAA